CATTGAACCACAATACCGATAAGTGATTAATAAAAGTCAAAAAACCAAAGAGGTCACCTTAATACCAAAAAAAAAAATAAATAAATAAAAAAATACTATATGTTTTCTTTTGTTAATAATAATAATATATTATAAAATTAAGTTACAAGAAATTAATAGTGTAATAATTCTATAATAATATTATATTAATAAAATAAAAGATAGTTTTATAAATGCAATAGTATTAGTATAGTAAAATTTCAAATTGTTATAAATAACAATAATTTTTATATCTTCTTTTGATATATTTATATCACTGCATTATCATAAAATAAAGTAGTTATTTAAAAAAAATATATATAGTATGTATTCTTATAATATGTATTCTTGAAATTTCAGTATACAGTATTTCTAAGCGTCCAATAGTCAGATGATCTACACTAATCAAAACAAACTATTATGCGCAGTCATAAAGTCTTATGTTGTAGTTAGGGTAAATTTTGAGTTATTAGCGGTTTTTTAAAAAATCGTGATTTTCACGTTACACCTGATCCGGAGATCTTGCATCTTCACTATAATACTCTCTACTATATTACGACTTACGAAGTTGCAACTTTATTAGTGAAAGTTGCAATTCCGTTATCTCAAAATGTTTGCGCCTCTACAGAAGTCTGGTATGTCTTTCCGATATTTTGTAATAAAGCAACTTCAAATTGAATTACTTAATAGTATAATAAGGATAGAATTCCGAAACTATATCAAAGTTTTTGTTTTAACTTTATATTTTTAGATGCTATTTTTGAGCCAGACATTTTAGATATAGTGTCAACTCTAGTTAGCGAATCTGTGGAAAATATTGGACAAATCTTTGGCTCCCTCTGCCATAGCTATACGGGCGAGCCTTCAAAAATTCAACTACTAAGTGACCTTTATGACGAATTTGCGAGCTCGGATACTCAACCTAAAGCCGACTCAATATGCAAAGACGCGTTGATGAATATACTTCTAGACAAATATGACACTGTTAAAATAGATGAAGTAGTAAAATACAATGTAAGTTATATGACTTATCGATAATAGCTCTTCGTAAAGGCAATAATAAATAAAATTGCAGGGACTTTATTGCAATTATTAGATTCAGGCTTTAAACTCTGTAATGCCACTAATTCAATCTCCGTATTGGCGAAAAGCCGTGTATGCTTTGTCAGAAAAATATCCAGAAAGCCAGTTTTTAAATCTTTTAATTCGGGTAATACTTTTTTTCTATATAATTGTTACATTTGATTTTATCGGATATTTATTAGAATTATTATAATTTGCAGAAAATTGCCGACGCAAACCATATCAACGAAATAAAACACCTTAAATCAGCGTCAACGAATATCGATGTGTATTCTAAAGTGTTGTTAGATCAATTTGATAACCTAATAGCAGAAGATGAGGCTGGAGTATCACAAAGCATTCCAGATTTAATCGTCAGTATTTTCACCAATTCTCTTCGGCTCAGACTATGTACTGCTTTTTCTGATTTTAAATTAATTCAAATTATATGCTTTCATATATATTAGAAAACTGCAGTCCAGCACCCGCATTCATACCTTTTTGCTCAGGCATTGATTAAACGCTTATCTCAAGAACAAAATGGCTACCCACTAAGGAAATTGGCAAAAGAATTAGAAAAAGGTGTTTCTATTAACAAGTACATAGGATGTGTAATATTACTGCTGTATTTTTGTTAACCGAAATCAAAAGATTTACAACATATGTATTCAATTTTCTAGTACGGAACTGGTTGAAAATTTAAGAAACTTAATAGCGGCTCCACCGATGCAAATTGCAACTTCTATTTTACGTATTCCACCGACTCCTGGAGATATAGTAGCTGTAAGTGCTATTTATCACTGAATATTCATCGGGATCCTTGTTACTTATTAACATTATTTTTAAGTTACACAAACAATATTCCCTTGCACCATTACCCTCGCCTATATATTTGAGAGATCCACAGTTACTTTGTAAGAACAAAAATCATGGTGAAAGTTAATATTTCATTACGTTTTCTGCAGTTTTAATACTTTATTGCATTGTTTTCTTTCAGACTGGCTTTTAAATAATGCATTTGTACCGTCTGAGAAAACCTTAAATTTGAAACAGGACATTAAGGATAAGTATTTATATCTTGCAGCTTATGCTGCCTCTGCCGAAGAACGAGAGGATGGAACGGTGAGCCTTGTATTTTCTTGTGAATTACATAACCATCAAATAGCTCAGCTTGTTGATATTGTTATACAAGACTGGCTTTAATAAAATAAAAATAAGATAATCATAGTTCATTAGTTGTACAATCTCTTATTGATTTATGATGTCCTTTACCCGTAGATAGATAACTCTAGAGTTAACACGACGTTTGAAACACTCAAGAAACTCCAAACTACCTTAGGGAAAAAGGGAGTTATAGGCCTTGAATTTAATGCTATCGTTAAAGATCTTTTGGTATATATTGAGTAAGGCACTTTATTAAGATTTGCTTCAATGTTTTTCGGTCTTGAATTAGAGCGTTGATTCTAACATTAATTCAATGAATCTGACGTTCTTTAGTACGCCAATTGCATCAATGGCGACGATTTTCTGGATTAAATATATTTTACGAGAGACGTCCTACTATGAGAAGCATTTCAAAACTAACGAAGTACCGTTACCGCACTACATACTAGAAGAGGTATAGTTCTGGATTGTCTATACAGCCTATGCATGATTATTACGTTTGAACATCATTTTATTAATTATTGGATAGATCGCTTTCCGACATCAATATCAACGATTTCACGTCTTTAATGCATACAAAGCAGAATTAGAGTCATCTAATAGATTCACACCTGAAGTCATGGTTTGTTAAATACCTTAATATGATATAATACACATGCATTTGACTGCACGAACTAATGTGTTTTTAATCTAGCAGACAGCCCTTCGGAAACAATTAATGGAACGCATGGCTTACCTAGTTCAGATTGGATTCGTAATGCAAGTAATGTCGTATATAGAAAAAAATCTTAGCAAGTTAGACGAAAAATTGGTTACTATTTTTGTCAAGAAGGTAAGTCACGAAAAGAATAAATATTATGAAACCAAATTAATTGTTATGAATAAGCGATCCCTAATTGTTTCAATATTATTCTTTATAGGTTGCCTCTGCATGTGGACCTCCTTACTCGGAGGAATTTTATATTTCAATGTTGAAATTAATTGAATACGCAAAGATTCAATTGGACTCTCAAATCGACACGCGACCAATGATTGTACAATTTTTTGGTAATATTTATGCATTATTATCGCACTTCATATTTCTAAAATATTAACATCATATTTTCTATTTGCATACTCATAGCTGACTGCCCATCAACAATCGATAACAAATATCGTGAACTTATAAATAATTTGTTGGTTATTTTTGGTAATTAATCTTACCATCACAATTATCATCTAATTCTATCTTACGACATGAATGCATTGCAATATAGGCTAATGAGATTTGAGGACAAGTTTTTCTAGCAACGTAGTTTAATTTTTTTTTCTTCTTTTTTTTGTCGTAAAGTTAATTAGATGTTGTCATTAAACATTTAGCATATAGATTATATTTTACCTGCTTGTGAGTTACAAATGTGTTGGTGATTGGTAGTTTAGTAATCAAGAAAATAAAAAAGATTGATAATACTATATGAAAAATATATATATATCCAAATTGTTTATCTATCTGATCATTTAGATTTAAAACAGTTTTTATATGGTACAGAATTCTTACCATTATGTCCATAATAAATTTCTCGAAAAAACGATAAGTTGTAATACCTAAACTTAAAATCATTGACAAGATCCGCTCACTTCTAATGTTTAATGCTGTCCCCCATTAATAAATTTCTCAATATTTTTTCTTGTCTCCTATTTAACCTTGCGGCCAATGCATCATCCGAACCAGAAACTGGACGAATACTTTATTCAGGTTATTGCATACAGATACGAGTAATGATTTTAGAAGACGGTCCAAAAAATATTCTATATATAAAATGTTCGGATCATGATTTTTGATCCGTAATTTAGGTGAATCACAATACTATAAAATTGACAAAATTGTGAATAATAATTATTTAATCCCGTGAATAATCTCGAGATCAGTCATCGATCAAAAATTACAAATAGTACTATATATTTTTTTTTGTGAAGTAGTTCTGAGAGCTTAAAAACTTTGGTTGCCTTTGAAATTGATATCCAATATATATCAAGTTTATTTATGGACAAAAGTACCTACAATTCTGTAACCATCAGATTTAACATTTAAGAGTACGCATCGACAATAATGCGATCGTTACATTTCTTTGACGAAATCTTTCACCTTAATGTGCAAATTTACAGTCTTCACCATAGCGACAATAGCCTTTAACAAAAAAGCGACAGGGAGTGGTGCTGCGAGGGTGAGTCAAAACTCCAAATTTCGGTGTCGAAACTGGCGCACTGGTCTCATGAGAATATCTACAGCCTTCGCTATAACGACAAATGCCACGTTGGAAAAAGCGGCAGAGATATTTTTCATCGTTTGGTTCAATGTCATCCATTTGTTCATGATTATTATTGGTTACACTATCGCTAATACCATTATTGATATTAATGGGTTCAGTTGCAGTTTCTTCCTGAAATAATTCTCCTTCATGCTCACGAAATGGTTTTTGCATCATGAAAAAAATGTTAATCTATATTTTTAAATTCTTTTTTCCATGTAAAGTAGATGCGAAAATGACAAAATTTTCTTTCTTTGAAAATATTAAGTTTAGATATTCGTTGAAAGAAAAGGTATATATATATTTCTCAAAACACTTTTCTTCTTTTGGAAGGAGCGAAAAATTAGGTTCGTATCTTCGAACCTCTTAGAATCGATAAATTGACAAAAAATTTTGGCATTTTATATTTTTTTTCCCAAAATGGTAAGGATCTTTATTTCCCACGCTCCACAAAAAATCGGTGAAATTATGAAATCATGTTTAAATGTCACAGACGCACAATATGTCACATGTAAAAAAGCCATCGGGTGGTAAATAGTTTACCGTTACTTTGACTGATTGAAGAATAAATGTTTTTATAACAACCTGTTACATGTAACAACCTCAGATTAGCCAATAATAATTAGAGTTAGGGTTTGGGTTACACGAATTTTTAATTATTTTTATTGGTTGTACTAGTTACAATTAGATTTGTTTTATATATATCTCTTATATATTTTTTTTTTAAATAAAAATATATTTATTTAATATAATTTTACTTTTTTTTAACTTTGACAGTCTGCCTAGAGTGGGAAAACAGACGAACTGACATCCCAGCAAGACTGTTATGCAAACTGGTAATGAATGCAAGATTAAAGCAGAATGGAGAAAAACAAATGCAATTAAAAATTTGAAGCCAAAAACAGAAATCATGATCTATGATTGGACACAACTTTGAAAAAAACTTAAAGCAACTAAAGGGATATACAGTACAACAAGAAGAAGTAGTACAAGAAGATACACATTTATCAAGTATATAATAGATAAACTCCTAATCTTAGAAGAACTTAATAGAAGATGATCAGATATATATACAATGACAGAATGTCAAGTATGTTAAGATAAAGTTAAAAAAACACAGTCACATTTGGCATTATACAAAGGACAAGTAAATCTCTAGAAACAAATCCAAAAAATGATCATCGTAACAGCCTGGAAAGGATTGAAAAAAGAGAAAAAAACTTGCATCTCACCATATGTATTATATACAGCATTCTTTGAAAAAAGTGAAGTAGAAGAAATAGAGATGAGAGAAGTTTTAATTAAAGACCTAATTCTAGAAAAAATGCAAAAAAGATTAACATAGTTCCTAAATACCAAAGCAAGACAACAGTTTATAGAAAGAGTAGCAAAGACAGCATGAGACATATTCTATAAACAGGTTTGGAGAATACAGTGTGAAAAGATTAATGAATGGGAAAAGAAAGAAAGCATAATGACCAAAATAAAGAAAAAAGAAGTTAAAAAAAGGATCCAAAAAAGAAAAGAAAGACAAGTCAGCAGAGAATTAAAGAAGAAAAAAAACTAGTAAAAGAGAAAAAAGACAGGATTAATGAAGAAACTAGGAAAATATTATTGAAACTTGTCATGAAAGAGAGAAGACCTTTCCATTATGAACTTTAAGTAGTCAGACAAGTAGCCTACTTTTGTTTGAAGTAGTGCAGCAGGTTGCACTTAGGTACCTCTTGGGTGGCCAAGTGATACTAGACTTAGTTGTTAAGTAAATCTATATAATTGCAAAAGTAATTTCAAAAATCTTAATAAAATACTAGCATGACTGCTTAAGTTTAAAAAAAAAAAAAAAAACTTTGGCAGTCTTGCTAATAATATTTTGTAAAATTTTATATTATATTTTGATTTAAAATTGTAGTTAACTATTTTTATAATCTTTTTTTTTTTATTAAATAAGTAATTAATTATTTTTTTTTTTTAAATATTAATGATGAGACTATTCCTTTAACTTTATTGAAATTTAATTGAAGTTTTTACAAAAAAAAACTTGCTTTTAAATTACATATGAAGAATAAAGACTTAGACATATAATCTGCAATCTAAACCTATAAGAGTGGTCAAGACTCACCTAGATTTAGGTATTAGTAATAATATATAAGAGAGGGGTATGATATTTAATCTATTAAATAGTCCAAAGATCAATTTTAGTAATAATTTG